ATGACTTTCGCATAAGGGCAATAATACACATCCATGGGGGCTGAAAAATACAACTCCTCTTTATCACTATAAATCATTGGAAAATCTTGGAAAAAGCTCTTCAGAAAAACTCTTAGACACGTACTTTGTAGCATGCCCGTAAAATATAGTTGTTGTTACACTGATTTATCAGGGCTGCCCCCCCCCCCCAACAAAAAAATGTATCTCAGTCTTTGACTGTATGCATAGTATTATAACAAATGTAGACATTCGTTGAGGTCTTTGCACGTGTGTGGTCATGACGTCTTAGCTGGGCCAAAAAAAGAAGTGTGCTTCGACCCCGTTAATGGAAAAGTATAACATGCTTAAACAAATTGAACAAGGTAAAAGTTTTTCATCTGTTGCTCGTAAACATGGAATACTAAAACAGACAGTTTCAAATTTGATGAAAAATAAACAACAAATCTATGAAGCTGTTGATTCGAAATTGGCAACAAAAAAGAAGCATCGATTTAGAGCATCCACGTACGAACACCTTGATGAGGCTTGTTACAAATAGCTAGTAAAGCCATGTCGTTATCGTGGCCAAAAGAAGAGTTTGATGGATACAACACTTTAATTGAAGAATGGGTCAGGGAGCTTGAAGAATAATCGGAAAATCACCGTAATCATTGACAACTGCACAGCTCAGCCAGAAATCTGGGTTTAAAAGCAATTGATCTTCTTTTCCTTGCTCCTAACAACACCTCCGCCCTTCAGCCGATGGGCCAAGGAATGATCCGTTCCTTGAAAGCAAAGTACAGAGTGAAAGTGACCCAAAAGATGATTGATGCAGTCGATAACAAAAAAGGAGCTCCCTCAAATTTCTATGTTGGATGCGATGAAGATGCTGGTGTTGTCTTGGGATGAGGTTACAGAGAAAACCGTTCACAACTGTTTCAAAAAAGTAGGATTTATAGAGATTGATGACAACACATCAGCATCCGACGATCCGTTCCATGCACTGAAAGATAGCCTCCGTCAAGTGAGTAGAATGGATGAAAATTTCTAAAATTTGTCTGCTGAAGATGTCGCCTCTTTCGATGACACACTATCTGTAACTCAAGCTGTAGTCTGATGAACAAATCTTGTCGGATATTCTTGGAAAGGATGCCGAGGAAATTCAAGAAGATGAAGACTTTGATGAAGATGCAGCTCATGCTTAAGAGAAACCAACTACATCTCAATTACTCGATGCCATTGATACCTTGATGAACTACTCCATGATGATCGATAATACCGAACTGAAAGCGCTTATGATCAAGGTTTCTAGAACTGTGGAAACTGAAGTAATTGCTAAAAGCAAACAAAAGTGACTGACTTTTTCTCTGCTCGATGAAGAATTTATAGTCGTATTTTGTTAAAGGAAATATGAAAAATTTTAAACACAATTATCACCGTTTCTTGTTTATGATTTAACGAAGCCCTGTAAGTTATAAAAAAATCTTTCGATGACTGGGACAAATTGAGCCTTTTGAAGAAAATCCTACTTATGAGGAGATTCGGATTAATAGGATGCCCGCTAAGTAGTACAATTTTGCTCGGTCCAATTTTGCACGTGACAAAGGTTTTAGGATGATGGCCTACTAACGAAGAATTGGACACCCTATGCCCGATAAACAACGAAGAAAATCAGTGAACCATAACAAAATTGACGGCTGACATTTTCGATTGTAATTTGATCCAATAGTAAACACAAACATAAATTCATTAAATTATAACAATATCAGCTGTTTCTGTTTACTAGAACACGTTTTTCAATGTTTTGTTGGGTAACCTCTTGATTTCAAAACAGCCACCATTCTTCGTGGGATGGATTGGTACAACTTTGCAATGTAACTTCTTGGAATACGTGACCAACATTCAAAAACTCTTTCCACAAGCTCATTTTTTGTGGTCCGAGGATTGTGATTAATGGAATTTTTCATAAATAACCAGATGTTTTCAACGACATTAAGGTCTGGACTTTGCGAAGGCCATGGCAAGACCATGATACCGTTACGGTAACGGTAACTTTTGTTTTTTGGTGACACATACGGTTTTCTTTTTCTTATGCAGATTTTGATCCCATATTTTTTAAGTATTCTAGCAACAAGACGTTTGGAAACACTTTCTTTTGCAAACGATTTACTTAAGTTAGCCTTTAGCTGACCCAAACATGCCTATCTTTGCCTATGTAATAAAAACATCGATATTTTCAAATTCCCTATGATTTTTACGAAATATATCTAGAAAAAAAGGTAGAAAACACAATTGTGTTGCTAAGATTTGTATTTTTGCTGACGCCATTTCAATAACCCCGCCAAAAAAGCCAGGCTTTCAACAACAGTGTTGGAATGCCATCTATGCAGACGCCATCTTTCTTTCATCGTCCTAATACATTTGTCACGTAACGTAAGTGTATACTGTAATAATTCGAATAAATTGAATTTGCCAGCAACAACAGCAACAACAGTAACAATAACATCGACAACAATAAAAAGAACAACAACAACAGCCTGTGTGTCTTTCTGAATTGCGTTCTTTACCTTTCAGGCACTAATGCACTAATGGTGCTGTTTATGGCCGTGTTTTATTTCGTGGTGCTCGTTGCATTGCAAGCAGTTGCTTCACAAGATGCTGCTGTCAAGGAAATCTTCTTACCTCGTCGGTCAAATTTACCATTCTTGGAGTCGGAGCACATAGAAAATTCTACAAAAGCAAAAATATCCATTACGCATGATAAAATATTTTCTGTTGTTTCAAAAAGATTTCTGTCTTTTGCAATCCATGCAAAAGCGTTTGCACGTAGGAGTCCATTTCTTTACCATGATGCCACATTTCTGACCCTTTGCAAAGGGCTGTCTATGCAAAAAGGAACAGATTCAAATATATATTTACGTGCTGCAGGGAATGCAGCGAACAAAATTTATTTTAGAAAGGATTCCCATCGTCTCGATGACAATCACCACGATAAATTTTTTATGAATCCATTAAGATGGGATAATCTAATGAGTTTCGTTTCAAAGCTTGGGTGGAAGTTGCTTTTTGGACTAAATGGTCTTCCTCGGAAAGCTGATGGCTCCTGGGACTACTCCAACCCACTAGAATTTTTACAGTATGCCAGAAGTAGAGGAGATGATGTGGACTACGAGTTGGGAAATGGTATGTTGGCACTGGTGTTCACATTTTGGCAGCGTTTAAGATTTGTTTTGGGGCATCCTTTGATGTTGGCATTAATAATTGTTTGATAGATCAGGTTAATTTTGAGGTTGGTGCCACCTGAAAGTGCACAAAGTGCTGTACTTTATTGTGATTTATTGCAATAAAGGGTCAAGACTTTCTAATAAGGTTAAGGGTAAATTGTGATCATGTAACCATTTTTGATTGCAAAAAACGAATGTTTTCAACTTAATGCTCAAAAATGGTATTGCCTACTGTTTTGAAGTAGATCATGTAAGTTGTGTTGTTTCTAAACAGAAATATTCCATTTTTCCACCGAAGAGGCATTACGCCTTAGTGCTAGCTGTTTCACTCCTGTTTCACCCCTTAGTTTCCAGCAAATCACTGCTCACCATCACTTTTCTGAACCCCTACATATGTGGGTACTTGAACATAGCCACAGCAATTTTTGCCCTTTCAGGTGACACCTTCCTCAAAATTAACCTGTTCCATGATATTATGAATAATGATTCTAAAAATGTTGTTGTTTTAGCTAAATCACCCAAGAGATCATATTTTATATCTTATCAAAAATCTTATAAAGTACATTTCATAAAGAATAATGTTGATGTTCTAGTATTTGCCAAAACAAAACTTGATGGGTCATTCAGGGATTTTCAATAGCGGGATTCAAAAAGCCCTATAGATTGGACATTTCGGGAAACTCGAGTGAGATTATGGTATCCGTGAATGAGAGTATACCACCCAGGAAACTAGATGGTATGGCTCTCCCAAATAACATTCAGGCAATCCCCATTGAACTTAATCTAAGGAAGACTAAATGGTTATTGCTACCAATCTATCGACCACCGTGTCAAAGTGAATATGTTTTCCATGACCAAATAGACAACCTGTTGATATTTGGTGATTTTAACATGGAGACCATTTATCCTGTTATGACTGATTTCCTGGAAAATCAAAATCTTTACAGCTTGATCAAAACTCCAACTTGTTTTAAATCTGTTAGGGGTAGATGTATTGATCTGATTCTAACTAATAATAAACATAGTTTTTGGGTCTCAAACCCTTGAGACTGGTTTTAGCGATTTCCACCATTTGATCTTTAAGATACTCAAAACAACTTATGTCAAGCTTCCACCAAAGAATATCAACTTCAGAGATTACAAAAAATTATCTGAAATAAATTTTAGAATCGAATTGACCCTGAATCTATTAAATTCAAACATAGGTGACTTGGAAGAAACGTTTGCAGAAGCACTTCACAAACATGCACCCTATAAATCTGTCCTTGCTCTCGGAAATAACAAACCTCATATGACAAAAACCCTCAGGAAGGCTTTAATGAAATGCACCAGACTTAAAACCATCGCTAATAGGACAAGAACAGACAAGGACATTAGGAATTACAAACTTTAAAGAAACTTTGTTGTAACGATGAATTAACAGGCAAAGAAAGATTTCTATGCAAATCTTGATCCCACCAAAATTGGAAACAGTCAAAAATTTTGGAAGACTTTCAAACCAATCTTCTTGAAAGGAACAGTAAATACCAACGAAAAAATTGTTTTGGTTGAGGATGGTTGCATCCTCCATGATGATAAGACGATAGTGGAGTGTTTTAACTCCCACTTTGTTAATGTTACTGATACCCTTGATCTTCGCTTTTTTGCAAAATCTTTGCCATGAGTCTTTTCCCCATTTTCCCCTCTGCCCCCTAACTTTCTGACTTGCATCTGAGCCTATGTTTAACTGAATTCCAACTCTTTATCACAGAGCCTGATTTGTACAAAGAACATAATATATCTTTGAGTGCCAGTCAAGTTGCAAGAGATTTTGAGCTGCTTCATACTTTGGCATCAGATGTTATGCCAAACTCCAAAATCATTGGACCAGATATTTCACACATACCAAACAACACTTACTTTTTGAGGCAAGAATAGTTATATTTCAATTCATTACATTATATTTGCAAATTAAATTGCATGCATGTACTACTGACATTCTAAGCAACATAGACATTGCACTAAATCAAGTATACAATGCTGGACGAGTTACAAGAATCAAATAGTTTATCTTGTATTCTTCACCTGTAGTGCTAGACCCAGCAGTATCATGGCTTGCCATCAGTTACACACTTGACATCTGGACTTCTTAAAGCATGCATTTTCCATATTTTCTTGTCCTTTCCTCTTCTCACCCGTGTGTTAAGCCTTGAATATAATTTCTTCGAGATTCTTATGCTTTTTAAAAGCAACTGTGTCCCCTGGCAATTTCCCTCCCCAAACCCTACCTTAGTAGTCATGATCTTAACCCTGTTCGCTCAACTGTCCTTTGGTTGGTCTTATTCCTTGCATTTTATGGAAGAGTCTCCCTATCTCACCTATGTACCCTATCTATTTCCAAATTTGTATTTGCTGATGCACTAAATACTCTAACACCCCCTATCTTTAAACGACCCAGTGAATTCACCTATATGTTACATGATTAGGCATTCATCTGAAGAATCCAATGATACCTAAAAATCTGACTAATGGCCATTGCCTGTGCAAAGCTATCGCTACTTCTTCTGGTTAAGAACTGATGGGTACAGTTGGTATACAAAATAAACCTCTCAAAAGGACCGACACCTCCCACTCATACACACTTTTACCGTGATATCAAAGAAACCAATTGTCAGATTCTTAATAGTTTCTTGGATACTGCTGAGGTTGTCAGTAAATATCCTTAACGTCTCTACCCTGTGTTTAGATAAAGAATATATTTCATAAATCTCATCCAGAAACGGGTCTTATTGGCGAAGCTATCCAGGTCGGCATAGGTGACCAAAGCCGTGCCTATAAAACTGAAAGTAAATTTTCAGTTTGACTATATGTCATATTTATTGTCAATATATAAAACATGAACACGCGTGGCTGACGGTTTTGAATAGAATAGCTAGTCTTCCTATCTGCTGCCTGATGCGTTACCCTGCAAAATCGATAGGGAAAGTCTGCCCTGTCGTGTTTGGTACGCAGTTTAAAGAACTAAAAACAGAGTGGCAGAAGACAGCCATTTTTGCACTTATTTAATGATGGAAGATGTTTATACTACGATTATTAAAATGTAAAAGTATAAAAGGTTTGGTTTGTCTTCTACTTAGCTATTAGTGTTTGAAAAAGATAGAAAAAGGAACAGGATTTGAATGAACCTTAGAATATTGCTCTCTTTGTGTGAAGCTTATTGATGAATATTTCTTTTTTCAGTTTTCTTAAAGAAATCAAGCCTGATGCCATTGATGCTGTTTCTTGGCACTTGTAAGTTTCTGCATTTCCTCGTTTGGCAATTTTCAGCTGCATCAATGCTCGGGGCAATGAAAGCACCACGAATGGGCATGATGGCCTATCACCAACCCCTTGTAGCTTAGAAAATATGTAAAGAATTAATGATAAAGACTTGCTTGTTCAAAGCAAGCCTGTTTAAAAGACTGTGACGTTGGAGGCTTTGCTTATATTAAATGGTGTGATCTCAAAGATTTTCCACGGGACTCTGTGGCTGCCGCTGCTGGAAAATACTGCTATCTTAGTTTCAAAGTGGTGTCAGATTTTATCAGAAGAAGTGCACATGCAAACGCTTGTGCAAATTCAGTATGTTGCCTAAAATGCGGTAATTTATGCATATTGAATTGTGCAAGTAAGAGACAAAAACATTAATAAACTAAGGCAATTGACAGAAAGAGCCAAATTAATATTTGGTTGATAGCAGCAAATTCATTCTGCTGAACAAGTTTACCTATGCAAATTTGGTTTTATCTTTATTCTTATTTTCGATCATAAGTTATTTTCTTTCACAAGGAAGTTAGAGCCTTTAATAAACTTGATCAAAGCTGGGTGTTTGCAAAGTCAATTCTTGACTGTCAGTTGTAAGATGTTTGCTACACCCACCAAGAATGCCTTTTATTAATACCTGTGAGATTTATTTTGAACCATATTATTTTGCAGTTATTATAAAGAAGGAAGCAATATAACACTGTCGGATTATACAAATCCGAAGTTTTTAGATTCATTTTTGAGGATATCGAAAGAAGCCATTAATATGATAAAAAGTGCAAATGGTACAAGGATTTGTCCAGTTTGGATTGGCGAAACTGCAGATGGATGGGGAGGAGGTGCTGCTGGATTATCAGATAGTTATGCAGCTGGATTTACGTATGTTGTCCTATTTTCAGTGAATTTTCTGTCAGAAACATTTTGTAAAATATGAATCGCTGGCGGAAAATATGAGGGGTTAAGGGGGGATTGGTGAGTGTATTATCTTGACTGTCGCATATTTTTGTAAAGGAAACTGAATGGAAATGACCCCTTAAATAACAGCTAAGAAAAATTACTGCATTTGTCCCACCACGCAAAAACCCTGATTTCTGCCACTGATGTTAATTTTGTGTATTAATCGTAGTTCGCAAGGTTTGTTTTTCTTTTCAATTTTATTTTGGTTGATTTAATTAGCAAATAACCAAATCAGTGGAAGTCAAGTTGAAGATGAATTTAACGTCAAAAAAGGAGACCTGTTTTTTCGATTTTTAAGTTTAAAGGTCGTCAGAAAAATATAAAAAAGGATTTTTCGGGACTTTTTGAGCATAAGTTCGGTTTATGGCTCATCCAAGAACGTTACCTGTCTTGATCGACCGCATATCAGCGAAATATTCAAACGATTAGGAATAAACGAATGGCAATATGCACGTGAATGAAGGCCATAATTGGTCACAATATAACAGTAAACAACGGAAGAATCTAGCTTTCACTGTTTGAAAAAGAGTCTTTGTGAAAATATTTTATCTTTTTTAGATCATCTTTATTAGACCAATGATGCCAGACACAACCCTCTGATAATAAGGCAATTAGTCATTTTGTTACATTAATGTTGTTGTTATGGGTCATCTCCTTGCCCCAGCTACCCTATTTTCTGACTTTCGTCGGAGCCCCTATCTAGTATAATATTATCATAATGATCTTTCACAGATACTTGGACAAGCTTGGCCTTGGGGCAGTTTTAAACATCAATGTAGTAGTTCGACAAGCCATCATCGGAGCAAATTATGCTTTGCTTGACCGAAATAACAATTTTTTCCCAAGGCCGGTACGTTGCATATTCACTTCATTTCCAATATATGATGTTTGATATCATACGCAATATAGATTTGTATTTTTGCCGTATATTTTGCCCATTAAAATGTTAAAGGAAATTCTTCATTAAAATGATAAAAAATTTGACAATAGCACGGTATAGCGGGAACATCGAATACTGAAGATTTTGGCGTCGGACGCTCTTCAGAGTATAGTTGTCGGATAATGACCGAAAGTATACGGAAAATTCATATCCAGGTGTGGATGGAAAGCCACGTGAATGGAAGAAAGACACGTTTGATTGGTTATTTTGATTTTGATCAAACGACTGCCAACTTCTGACCTAGTTAAAGCCGTGAAATGTTGATCATTGCTTCGCATCGGCTAACAGCACTTGCGATGTAGTCATTTCTGAATTTCTATTGTCTGGGATGAGTAATTTATGGACCCATTTGAAGTTCTGCCTCAAAGTATCGTGGCGAAAGTGTTAAAGAAGTGGTGGTACAATTGGTTGAATCAAAGTTGTAACTGAAAGTTCAGCTCGATTTGGTTGCACTGATTGGTTGATCATTTCATTGAATAGTTTGCAATCATGCAAAACACAGGCATTTTGTCATAGTTTTAAGATTTATTTAATATAAGTTGCATAGTTCTATTCGCCCTCTCATTGATTTTGTTTCGGTCATAGTGCTATTGGTTATCTTCACTGTACAAGTTGTTTTTCGGAGAAAGGGTTTTAGAAGTCAACGGCTCTACAGATTACAACAGAGAAGTGCGTGTGTATGCCCACTGCATAAACGAAGATGGGAGGTGGGTAACAGTTATATTTCTATAGTGCACCAAGACTGTAATTAAAGGGACTGCAAACACGTGCTAGATTGAAATTTCTTTGCAAGGCAGACAATAATGCAAGCATTCTATAAGGACCATATGAATTTGATAAAGCCCCGCTTACACAACGAAATCTACCAAAGGTACGGCAGAGGTTAAATTAGCCCAGAGTCCTTGTCTCAAGTTGTAGCGCTTGCGCACTAAGTGTTATCCTATATATTTCTACCGAAAACGTGACCAAAAGAATTCAGCAGTTTTTCAAAACGTTCCAATTTCTTGAAATTTTGATGTTATGCGACATAGCTGTGAAACGATGAATGTGCATGAATGCTTCGTTAGAAATTTCATCCCAGCCTATGCTCTTCAAATCGGTTGAAACAAAAATTTTGAAATATCCTAAAGCTTTTTATCTGATAATTTTTAGGTTATAAAACGTGAGAACAATTTTTGAATATGTGAAGTTAGGAATACATACACCCAGTTAATGATCGAATTAGGCCAATCAGAAATGCCAGCACATGACAGCGCAGCTTGTCTCTAGAAACATTTTAAAATCTGAATACAACAACTTTTCTTAGGGGTTAAACATTTCTTTTATGAAGAATTTGGTTTTGAAGTTTGCTCTGGTAAAACTTTTTAGAGTGGAAAAAGCAATATTAAAGTTAAATCCAAACTGGCTTTGCTATTTTTAAAACATAGTGTTACTTTTTAAAGATGTAGAGACACTTCTTGTCTTGATGTCATTTGGTCACTTTTTGTGTCTTTTTATGTAACGTATAACTTATTATGTTGGTGTAACGCATTTGATGTGCTCATGTGGTATAGCATCGTTAATACGATAGACTCATTTGGTCCCAGCTTTCTTTCCGACATGTATGCAAATGTGTTAAGGACTTCATCATTGCTTGAAATCTTAGCAACAGCAAGTTCGATGGAAAGTAGTGACAATTATGCGAACCGTTCTTAATAATTTTATTTCTCCAAATATCTTAGAGGATTGGCAGGGCCACACCCTTTTCTTCACCTTTCACGGGAAACGCCCAAAATTCAAACCGCATTAAATTTTGAAGGAATTGAGATATCGAAGTGAAATTTTGGATTGCGTTATTTTTGGTATGTCTAGGGTGCCCTAACATGAATGCATAAAATGAATGCTTTTTGTGCCGAAAACATCATGGTTACAGTCTCTGGGTGATTTGATATTAAATGACCCCATTGTAACTGAATAGGTGCGAAAATTGGATTCTGTTTTTAAATTCACAACACAATCTGATTTCAAATATTCTGCATCCATAGCTGGATCTGCATCTCCTTGACCATATTTTCCCCAATGCTTGAAATTGGCTGTGTATTATCGCCGGAAGAAGGACGTGTCTTTAAAAACATAGTCCGGACAGCTCAAAGGATCTTATTAGAACCATTGAATGAATCTCTTATGTGTTCCGGTCATCATTATATCATGTACATTGAAGAAAACTCCATTTTGGATTCTCCATTCAACTCCATCACTTCATCACCTACCAGTTCTTGAGCCAAACGTTTTCTTTAGTCTTAGGGCTTCTGGAAAATCATTATTTGCAGTTATCATATCTGCAAGTTTTCTTGTGTCGTCATTAGGCCTTACTGCTTCTATTTTATCTCAGGCGTACCGCAAGTCGATCTCAACACATTGAAACGTTTTTGAAGCATTCGACCTGGCCAATTTATCCATCTCCTTTAGCAGCGGCCTTAACTTCTGGTGTATATTCAATAGTTTTTTGGAGGGATGTAGGCAAAAAAGGCAGGGATCTCTTTATTGCACTTTATGATGTTTTCTGTGTTGCCCAGCATTGATACCTTGGTACCTTGATTCCTTTCCCTTTTTGGACGTCCAAAAGTTTGTCTGCATTCAAATATTTGTACAACAATCTCACATTTTCTAAGAATTTCTTTGCTTTCAACGATGACTTGCATGCATCAACGAATACAAAGTTCATCGACGATGCGGTTTTGCTTTATCAAGGGCCATGGATGAAATTTTGATGGTTATAGCTTCCTTAATAGTTTCAGTATCAATCTTGGAAGGTCTTGGAAGTCTAAAGAGCCTGCTAAATGTCCTAAACACTACACTAAACATTTGAGCTCTTTATACAGGATCATCTCGCTGCTTTTGAAAGATATTGTTCTATGCGATAGTCTGGGTTTGGGTATAGTCTTATTGCTTTCTTTCTGACAGTTAGTTCTTTAACCGAGTTGCAAAATCATTAACGTCAACTCGGAACTGAGAACAGTCGAGGGTTATCATATTGCAATCATGTGAATACTTTGTAATGAAGTAACCCTCTCATTTTTAGGCATTCCTATGAAAAAGGATCGATTGTTCTGCTAGTTATAAATCTCCATGCTACAAACAAAGCAATCATAGAGCTGGACGCGAAAATAAGAAGTCTACCTGTGCATCAATATTTACTAGAACCTTCCCAAGATGACTTGACAAGCCGGTAAGTAGAAAATTCATTTTGATTCTCTGACACTTGTTAATATGACGACCCTCATAAGGGTGGTATTTACTAGCGTAGCCAGGGGGCAAAGGGGCCAGCTGCCCCAAAGCACAAAGCACAAAGCAACCAATGAAATAAGACCTATTTCAATCAGCTTATCAAATGGGGGGTATTACCAGCATGCCAAAGGGTGTGGTCCCAAATTTCCCCCAAACCCCCCTTATCTTACCACCATGGTTACGTCACTCACTGCGAGCGCACTGTTCAAACGATATATCATGTATTTTGTTTCCGATTACTTTTTATATCATAGCCAAGAAGGTCTGTATTCATCTTGCTCTTGTTTATTATAAACCACAAAGCATATAATTGGAACTCCCTATCATCACCACTTTCTGTTATTCAAGCAAAATGTTTTGCGTTCGATTCTAAATTAGGGCTAATAGATAACATCCTGAAGTGGGGTATCCAGGTCCCATCTTCCAACCTACTGGGCTGGGTATGCCTTGAAGTGGGGATCCAGGTCCCATCTTCCAACCTACTGGGTATGCCATCATTTCTTTGCCGGCAAGTTTGAGAATTTCCCGACGCAGGACCCCTAGATGGCAAAAGTTCTCATTTTTGTAAGGGAATTTTTTTGAAGAGGGTGTCAAACCCCAATGTCCCCTATAGCTATGGTCCTGATTGTCACAGTTCGGATTTTTAAAATCGGGCCACTTTCAGTAATGTCAAATAAGTGTTTGCAGTTGGGGAAATTTTCTTAAATTCTTTTCAAGCTTTTTTCAAAACATTCGATTCGGTCTGTATCGCTACCTGTACAGAAATCTTTCCTGGGAGCCTCTCAATAATTTAAATTAACAGTTATGTTTGGCCGTTACAAAAGAGCGTTTTGTTTCCAGGTACGTCAAACTAAATGACCGACTGCTGGAACTGGTTGATAACACGACTATGCCTTCGTATGAGCCTCGTGTTGTGAAGCAGCCATTTCTGGTTCCACCAGTGCGATATGGTTTCTTTGTCATCCCAAGTGCTGGTTTTGAAGCTTGTCTATGACTTTTCAAAATACCTAAACACAAACATTGCGGATTCAACACACCAAATTGAAATATTTTCTATTTGAATTTTTATATATTGTACTTTTCGATAATGTAGCTTTGTATAACATCAAGCCCTGGCCGAACGAATTTTATTTTTGAAATTCCAGAAAAGGAACCATTTTAAAACGGTTGAGCAAATTTTGAATTCATTTGGCCATCGGCCACCGAGCATCACCACCATTGAGAAAAAAGTTTTTTGTGTCGAGTGCTGCTTGGTCAAAGTGTCAGTTTGTTTTGCAAAGGCCTAATATATTCATTTGCCTCGTAGCTTCAAAGCGCAGTCTTTTTAAAGCGTTCACACCATCATTTGATCTGTTACCAACCAGATTTACATTTCCATTTGTTATAAAACCTGCAAAAATTGCAATAATCATTACTTTTTAGGGAGGAATTTTGCCATTTTTTTAGATTTTGTAAGACTTTTTATTTATTTAGACAGTATTTATTCTGAATAAGATAAACGATGTTGACCATCGCCATACGGCTCTTTGGGGAGTAAGCTGCTGTGAATTTGCTGGAATTGCAAAGATTTTTCGTAAAACAAGATTTGCGCCTGTACTGAATGTTTGTTGTAAAGTGCAGCTTTATTCCGGCATGAAAGCTGTAGTGCTATCGTAATTGGTTTTAAAGATTACAATTCGACTCTAATACTGTCTTGTTTGTCGACATTTCTGTTTTATTAAAAAATGGAATAATGCTTTGTGAAAAGCAGACCCGAGAAAAAGTCGCGGACATCGCGGACGTCGGTTTCATGTTAATCCCTTTTCACAAGAATTGCAAAATTTTTGGCTAGGCACCTTTGAAGATTTAATTAACGAGAATATTTTGTGTCCATACAAACAACACTTTTTTATAAGAACAATGTTAAAAAAACATGAGCCTAAATATTGGACGAGAGTTAAGAAAAAATTAAGAAAAAACTGAGGTACTGTGATTCCTTAAAAAGGCCCCAACTTCGGATAAGCCCCACCTTGGGATAAGCCCCACCTTGGGATAAGCCCCACCTTGGGATAAGCCCCACCTTGGGATAAGCCCCACCTTGGGATAAGCCCCACCTTGGGATAAGCCCCACCTTGGGATAAGCCCCACCTTGGGATAAGCCCCACCTTGGGATAAGCCCCACCTTGGGATAAGCCCCACCTTCGGATAAGCCCCACCTTCGGATAAGCCCCAACCTTCGAACAAGTTAAGTTTCACGTTACGTTACGAACGTTTAATCTACCAAGTCAAACTTAGGAATGCGAAAAATGGTGCAGTAGAAGAATGCCCTGATAAAAACAATCAGACTACTAGAAAAGAACAACCATATAATTTGTAATTTGTGTATATAAAATTGCACAAGATAATTCTAAAAATGGTACGAACATGACTCAAATCGTTATTTTACATCATGAAAATTCTTATAAAGTATACTTAATATTATTACCTGAATAGAAATGATGCCAAACAATCATACTTAAATACCTACAGCTGGAACCTAAACGCGGTAGTAAGGATACAATTTGAATATGGGCTGCAGTGAACACATGAATTGCCATACCAAAAGCAAACTTGAAACCTGTTTTGTTTTCGTTAATAATAAACTGAGGACAATATGATTTAAATATGTCCTACTCTGAAGTCAGGAATAACGAGAAGGGGAGTAGGTCATTGCAAATTCCATAAACTAATAAACTGGGTAGTTGGAGGAAAGTTTAAAAGGGGGTCGAACTCTTATGAAACTAAAGTATTGTCGAAAGTGATTACAAAAACATCTTGAGTTCGAATTTTCAATTCAAGGAATTTAACCGAGGAAACAAAGGATTTTAATAAAAAGCGGAGGGTTTTAAAAAAAATCCTGTAAAAACAGAGTAGGAATGATGCAGGTGATAGGGATACGAAGAAATTCTGCATAGGGCTGGCGGTGTTCTGCCAGGGAGGTTGTCACAGGGGTACGAAGAATGCTTTACAGGTTCAGTAGATGGCCAGCTAATTTGTAATACTAGAAATATCGCTATGCAAAGAAAATTTTAACGTTGAAAAATGAATGACAGTTACTAAAACAATGGTGAATCATCAGATAAACATTAATACATCGTTAATAAATTGAACTTAATATATTCTCCCTTAAAATCATTTGTTAAGTGTTACAAAAATAGAATGCTTCGAATTTCTGCATAATGCTACTGAATATCAGCGATTAGCATAACGAAAGCTGTGAAGGAATTCCCTAACACGTTAAAGATTCAAAATCTCTTTAAGTTGTAATGCAGTGCACTCTCTCCGTCTTGTAATGCAGTGATGCAGAAAACAGGTAGATACCGTACGTTCAACAAGCTGCATTTATTATGGTCCACGTGGTAACACTACTGAAAACAATAATTAGCTTCTCCGGTTATCCTACTCACAGATAATATTTGCTTAAAGTAAAAGAATGGTTGGCAATACGCAAGTATACTCTAATGGCAATACCTTACACAACCATTCTGCGAGTCTTTGCTGAACCGTTGATAAGTGATTTGACCCTTAAAATTGAACAACATACGTCATAATGGGCGGGTACGGTGTTATGTAATTATGAATGGGTATGGCATTCACAAGGGCAGAATTATATTTCACAACTGCATCTATTCATAAAATTACCGTTTTCAAGTTCAAATGCAAAGGCAAGAATTAGAGCACAGGCAAAATAAGGACCTACTAATTAATAAAGGAATATTAAGAGGAGACTGCTGTAATTGAGATCGAATATAGAACAGCGAAGGACCGAAATATACAACGTATATACAACATTTAAATCAGACACGCACACCTTGTTCCATCCTGTTCTTGTTTTGATACATGTAAGCCCCAAATAAACAAAAGAACTCGAAGTACTCATCCAGTAAATTTTAAGATTTAAAGCTATACAAGAAAGACAATTCGCTACAAGCAAGAAAGGTGCAATTACCACTATACATTGAAAGAGAAAACGGTAGTGCTCAAAATACATTCCCGTACTAGCATCGCGGCTCTAACACAGTGTTTTTAAACATTATGCTTATTATTTTCTTTCAAGACTATAAAAGACTTTATTTTACGACAGATCACAAAGATACCTTCCTGTCAATCACTCATAAAAACTAATTTTACAGTTGAAAGAAAGAATAAAAAAGACCTGTACTGGATCCACTTGTTTTCCAAGCAGCAATACCTATGCTACACTGCCCTATTGTTTATAGAGAACCAACGGAGAGAAATCCTGGCCTTCTAACAATAGTTTCAAACTGAATTTAGTACGAATAGGAACTGAGCTGCATCCAGGAACAAAACTGCATGAAATACCTGGTACCAAAGAGCAGTTGACTGCCAAGTTATAGAATCATATTCCATTAACAAGCCAGATTTATATTCGTTGGTTCTCTTTACGGGGATACAATCGAGTATACTATTGTACGAAATCTGTGCCACGACATTTCTGTAAATATTAACATCATTGCACGCTGTGCCTGGAATATGGTTACATGTCGCAGCAATATGCATACAAAATGAAGCTATACTTGTGGGAGGTTTCGGCGACTACTTTGAAAAAGCACTGAATTCGAGGAGTTTATCCACTTTCTTAGAGATGATAAGAAAGTGAGTGACACCCTGAACTTCTAGGACCAATTAACTATATCTCTTCTAGAAGCAGCGATATGTAATACTATGGCTCTGGCGAACACATAAACATAGGCGTCAAGCCTTTAGATCGATTCAGTTGGTCCAAGCGATAGGCATCCACTGTGGCTGCGTTTCGATGAAGTTAGCCAGTTGTAGAACTTCATCATAGGCCTTGTCCAGGTTTTGATTCACGATTTGATAGTCAAAATAATGACCATAGTTGATGTCCATTTCCCGCGCTCTTTCAATCAGGTCTATCAGTTCATCATCCTAAAGACAGACCACAAAATTAATGATCAAACTGAAGGCTGCAAAACTCAATGGACAGTTGCAATCTTCAGTTATTTCATATTACGTCATCACGATCATTCTCGTTTGCATCCAGCATAGGGCATGTTACTGTTGACATTTTCAATTCAAACAGTACAAACTATCAGCTACCTAAACAACAAAGACACCATTCCGATGACAAAAACATGAGACCGATCCATAAATAAGTTACGTTAGTTTAAGACATTGCTGTTTACCGGCCAGCTTTATAGAGCTCGATACAACATACGCCTTGGTGTGTATAACTGAACTACCATAAGTTAGAGTTCAGAGTTTCTTGCTTTTAAAATCATCATTAATCTTGGCTAAAATTATTCAAATGTTAAAACTAACAACTGGAATTGTAGCCCCAGGGTTTCGTAAAATGGCTGACTTATCCAAACATCAGTTTGATAGAATATAGGTAAAACATTCTATTGCTTTCAACAAACAATTTCCTGCCAAAGTTAATGAGCGTACCTTGACACGAACATCTGGGTTGAACGGCTCTCCTCCCGTGCCTCGTAGCCTTCTCAGTTGTTCAAAGGACGGAAGAGTAATAAACACTACATAGGGTTTGAGATCTGCACAGTTCTTTAAGACAGGAAGTGCCTAAAAAAGAAAATGACACAGTTATTGAGATAATCAAAGATCCAAATGACAGCCCGTTAGCCCTGAGTTAATGTTACAAGCAATTCCACCTTATGCTATTATTAATTCAAAATATATTCGAATTACAAGTTTTGAAAAAGGCTGCCTTTAATTACAAAAGCGGGGTGGAATCAACCTAGATCAGACGAACGACTGTCACTAACTTCCTTACAGAGCATATTTTATCCGGACCCTGTTCATTATATCTGGGCAATCGTCACAGAGCACAAAAAAGTATCCTTGAATGACGGCTTGCATTTGATGGTAGTCTGGGTAAGTAGGGAATAAAAATGTTTTTCTTTGAGCCTTGACAATGGTTAAGCACACTACGATTAAAACGACCAAAACTTCACAGTAACAAATTTCCCACATCTTCGAAATTAATAGCAAGTAAAACAGGCTTTTGTCTCACGTGCCGGTAAATAGTCAATGAAATTATCTAAGATTTCACAATTCTTTCAGCAAGTTTGAAAATCAACAAAGTCAATTAACAGAAATTGTATATAATAAACTAAGATCAGAATAACAACTTGTTTCATAGTTTCGAGCGACATACACATAGTCCTAAAATATCCAAGTAAACTACCTACATACCTGACAATGTAAATTGAGAACACAGACTTGGCCATTATTGACAACATCTCTTATCGCATCTGTACTTGTCCCAAAATAGTTATCATCAAACGGGCCATACTCAACGAATTTGTGCTCTTTAACTAAATTCTGAAAATCGTTTTGCGACACAAAGTAATGATCTCTACCATTGACCTGTCCGTGTTTGGGTTCTTGAGTCGTATCTAGAGCAGGATTAACAAAACTTTGGTGACTTAGAGATCACAAAGTAGCAATTACTGAGATATAATCTTCAGGTTCCCTTATCTTAGGTCAAGCATTAGATGATATGGTCTTTATGATTCGTATATATGTTTAACTTTATGTGCGGTCTTTGATCATGCTTAATGTAAAAAAGATAGCAATTTTCCCTGTCTATTTATTACAAAGCAGATCATCCAATACGTCATGCATACCCTTGTATTTAAAGCAACATGTAAACAAAGTTTAAGTTGACAGATAGGAAACTGTTCTGAAAGTATCATTCGGTCTATGCTTTAAACAACTTCTATGTAGGTGGTCGTAAGGTTTACATCATGATGGTTTTAAACCTACGTGTGATCGCTGGTGCAAATCTTCCTGGTTCTGAGTTTATCAGCTTCTGACGCAACTGCTTTCTTCCGACCTTGGGTGGGCCTTTAAATGAAAGCATCATTGGAGTAAGAATAAAAATAGAAGAAGAAAAACGTAGTTTAGAGAAATCTTCGAAGATGAAATGAAATATATTCTAAGTACCAATAAGAACAATCGGTCTTTTCCTCTTTTGATCTGGCTGCACCTCTACCATTTCTTCGTAAGCAAGAATTTCATCGAGTGAGAAATCTAGGAGAAAGACATGGAATAAAGGTTGGGTGAAAAGGAAAATGGAACTTAAATGGAACTTGAATTTATAGTGGTGTGCATAATGGGGCATTATGCCATACATCTTTTTGACAACAGACAGGTTAGAAGTAAAAACAGAATTAGGCACAGAAATTTCTTTACTGAGTTTAGTTTCAGAAACACTATAAACAAAAGTGAAAACACTCCATTGTCATTACCATCTGCAGGTGCGCTTTCAGTTGTCTTTGTTTTCTTCTTCTTTCCAGGAAGACAAAAGCATTTCTTTTCTACAAAAATGGAGAATTGTTTAAACTGACTGTGTATGGGTTAAGAAAGTTCTATTTCAGTAGAAAATTGCTATACAATAATCTGGCAAAAACGGAAAATATTCGCATGAAAATAGTATTGTTAACAGCAAAACACGCCGATTCTGGCAACGATGTGCTGTATTAGTACATTAAAAATAACATAACTTTGAATAACAACTGTGCAACAATTATTTGTCAAAGTCGATGGCAGATGCGTAATTTAAGCTATACAAATTTTTAACTTAATGCCTCCACGATAAAGTCTATATAACAACAACACGAGTAGGCCAAGGAAATAGCTGACCATATATCAATAAAATACACTTTAAAAAGCAGGCAATGACCACAGAAATTAAATCGCATATCACGACAAAATAAGCATATTTAAAACAACAATAGGAATTTACTTTGTTTGGCAGTTTCAGGCTCTTTCACTTCCCGTACTGTCACTTTTGTGGCTTCTCGTCTGGAAATAACCAGTTTCCAATAATTATAAGAAGAAACAGCGGAAAAAGATTATCGCTTGGCTATGAAGTCTTGAAAATAACCCATTCAAAATCTATGCTTATTGACGAAACAAAATGTCGATTTCGTGGCCAGAAAAGATAAGTATTTTTGACTTCCCAGTTCGTAAAATTACAAATTGTTTAGATCAATTACTACAATATTTAAAGTGTTGTAGCACACGTTTGACAATACGCAAACTGCAGTCAACGTTCTTATTAAACACAGGGCCCATCAATAACATCTGTTTTAATCAACAATTCAAAAGACAACTTATACATCATCCTTCAGACAACATCTTTAAGTTAAGCAAACGTAGCTACCCTTAAAACAGCAGAAAACAAATAACACTAAACGTACTGTTGCTGGAAAGTTTTGCTTGGTATCAGCCCTGCTAATCCATTTGCTTCAACGTTGACTTTTCTCGCCTATGAATTGAAAGTAGCCTTATGAAAGAAGTATACAATATGAATGTCAAGGAAGTGGCGATGCCAAGGGCTGGTATGGGGAAGGGTTATGGGGGGGGGGGTGGTACTTACCCATCCCAATAGTCGCCAAAACATTGTCCACATAATTTTTCTAAAAATTGATAAAAATACACTTGGTGGTTGTAGGTCATTCTTTTTACATTTGCCTAAGGAAAATACACCTATTGCAAAGCACTGAGATGATGCAAAAAGGGCGTGGTCTCATGGGTCACTACCCTCCCACTCTTCAGTAGCTGACGCCGTCTTCGTGCCTAGGTGAAACAGATAGTGAGTTCATGCAGTAAATTAGTATTTTAATTTGGTTCTATCGGTTACAATATTTTTTCTCTTTTCTATGCTCATAGTTTTCTAAGAAATTTACAAAACACTACTAACAATACAGTTCTATAACTTTACCACAGGGGCCGTGAATCTTCATAACAACCCTGTGGCCATTAGCAATTATTTCACAGTCTGTTTCAAAAATGATGCAAGGGCAAACACCCAGAAAGGGTAAATATAAACCAGGCTACAATGTTGAAAAAACGCTGATACTTGCTTCAATCGATGCATTGACTATTTCCTTCATGACATTAAAGAATCATGCGTTACGGTGAAATTTGTGAGAGATACGCGATACAGAACAACTTTAACAAAAAGGTGTATCATAATGTGCTCCATGATGAAAAAGCCGCAGGTGTTAGAAGGGGGCAAACTGGCGTTTCGAAGCTTGTCAAAAACAGTGCCGAAGAAGTATCGGTTATAGGACCTTTTGCAAGATAATGAGAAACACTATTGAGAAATTCCCACAAAAGGTTAAACAAGATATACAACCAATAGATATTTTAGTTTCAAAAGGCTCAGAAATTTACCTGCCACCAGTTTGGATCTTCTTGATTTAGAATCTCCAGGATCTCCCCTTTTCTAAAAGGAAGGCCAATTTCGCGGCAAGGTATATAATTGTCATCTTGTGGGTCATAATCGAACTGCGCACGAAAGAAAGCGTTCTTTTCCCTGGTTTTCGACTTTTTCTTCGAATCTCCAGGAACAAGCAAGAATGTGAGAGTGCCCTCGATTTCTCTCAAAATCTCTACAACTTCATTTACAGATTTTCCCTTCACCGGTATCCCATTGATTTCTAAGATTTCATCTCCTTCGTGAAACAAGCCTAAAATCAAACGTTAAATTGTTATCTCTTTGTTTTTAAATTGGATTGCCTTAAGGCGGAGACCATTTCTTTTTCCTTGGCACATTTATGTACAAGAAAAAACAGTTCTAAAAAGAACAGAGGATATACAATGCAGTAATTCGAGCTGCTATGGTAGATTTTTCCTTAATGGCTATGCTTAAACTTCTTGCATAGCAATCTTGATTGTTCAAGAGCTATCTTTAACCTGTACCTTGCCATAAAAACCCTTGACAAGACGAAATTTTAGCGGAAGTTTAATTGTTTCGCTGTTTTTCCTAAATATTTTGTATGCAGTTTTGGAAATCATCTCCACATTTTGAACTTGTTTTCAAACAAAGAGTATTTAGCAATGTGATATAAGGCAGCTTTGTTTCTAGGCTTGCCTGTAACTCTAAGAAACTATGCCAAAATGTTAATTGTAGTCTTTTTGAAAATATTGGTTTTCAAAAGGTTAATTAAACTCTACAAAGAAGCCTCTTAAAATTACTCCGTTCCCCGTACTTGAATGTGGTGGATATTTTAACATGTTAAAAATATTTGCCAGCTATTTCTGGGTCAGTTGGCTCTCTGATATTTTGTTTAAGCGCACATGTGTGTTACTGGGTTCATATACAAAATCAGATTGTCGCGATAACAACAATAAAACCATAAACAATAGTAAAAGCTTTTCGAACGTACGCATCTAATATTTTGGATTACAGCTACGTAATGCCACAAGGAGCTCGGTTAATTTTTAAACAATAATTAAATAATTTTTAAATTTCTCCTGAAATCACCGAAACACAAGAGATAAAATTTTCTACTTTAATTCTTGACAGTAAGAAGCAGAAATTAAACTGACCACTTTTTTCGGCAGCCCCTCCTTTTACTATTCTGCCAATCAAAACAGCATCGCCTTCCTTTTTCACCGTGGCTCCAAGTGGGTCGTTTGTTTTATCTATCTGAACGATTTTCACTGTTTCTTCTTCAAAATCAGAGTAATCATTGACTGAGTTTGTTAAGCTGTTATCGTCACTGTCTTCGCCATCAGAGAAGGTGTTTAACGATTCACGAAGAGCCAAGCGATCGTGGGCCAGAAGAAAACTCTAAAATAACAATTAAACAACGTCACGAAGAGGACAATTTCAGACTAACACATAAGCTAGTTAATTTTTAGGCTGCAAAGGTTATCTAGATAGCTTGAGTGTATTTTTTTGTTTCAGAGTATCATGTACAAAAAGTGTCTATTAATTATAAAATTACAGACTTTTTACATTTTACTGACCCGAAAGTTAATGTGTATTTGAATTAAGACAAAATTAAAATCCAGTTGAACAAATGAATTGAACTTCTGTTTTGCAAGGTTACAATCATCTGACACAAGTCTATTAAGAAGCTTCAAATCAACATCGCATTGGCAGCTGAAGCCACAAGGCACGTGTACGTACTTGCATGGTGTGCTTATTCATGAGTTCAAGTAGCTCATTTGCCTCTGGGTCATCACTTTTTGCAAGCAGCGAATGTCGGACCTAAGGGTAAATAAGCGGTGATTATCAGCGGAGTCGAATGCGCCAGTCAAAAGAAACTTCTACAAGCTTTGAAATACTATTTTATATGGAGGTCAACCTATCACCACAGAGCAATAGACAGTAAAGCTGGAATACACGCTAAAATTAATGGCGGCTTTCCTTCAAAACACTGTTAAACAGGTGTTATCTTTCGACTGAAACAAGCTAAATCCAAGTGCGACTTCCAACACAAAAAATCCATAACTCCCGTTATTTCATTAATGCTACTTGTACTTCTTGAATATAATCCTCTCGCGCTCACGTTTTACCAATATTCGAAAGTTCCTTTACCAAATTTCGAAATTTCCTTTATCAAATAAGCTCTTAACATAAACCATTTCTCTTCCAAAATGTATGTTTCAAAATTCTTACCTCTGATAATAGAAACTGTGAATTCGTAGCTTTTGGTTTGAAGCTGTGATCATGTTTATGGCGGTCCTGAATTCGCGTCATGATGTTATGGGCCTATGACAGTGGAAAGTACTTGCAATAAATGACATGTAGAGAAGATAGACATTGACAGAAGGACATGAAAGAATAGGAGAAATGGGCCTCTTCTATACACTTGTATTGAAACACAGTATGCTTTAGGCGAGGAAATAAAATTTTAGAGGTTTAGGTACATGCTTGGAGCAGAAAATCAAAATAAAAAGGTTTGACATTAGATTTACAAATACGGGCTTCTTTGCTGAACAATGATAGATTCTTAAATTCTAGAAAAACATAGCTGAAACTCTATAAAACAAAAAAGGTATCAACATTTATTGTCATCAACCACTCTGTAAACTGCTCCCTTACATATTAGGGCAATAGAACAACTCACGTAAAAACATGGGCTAGATGGCATATCTAGTCTTAGAAAAACTTCAAAGACCTCGGTTTCTTTTCATCATATGGTTACTTGGCAACAGCAGAAATTGTGTCGAAAGAATTCCATTTTTGCCATTCACTTTAACTTGATTCATTTTTGTTATACTTTTATCAAATTTTACATAATTACAAATCTTAAAAACAAATGTAAAAAGTATTTTTTTAATGAAAAATTGCAATGGCTAAAAAAATTTGAATAGCGCTTGCAGTTGAAAGGAGTACAACCAGATCAAAGAACCAAAATATTTTGACGATCGAATCTGTAAGACAGTTTTCAAAGCCAATCCTTTTGTTTAAAAAGCAAACAAATAACCGAAAAGAGCGTAATTTTTCATTTTTTTTATGCCTGGACAAATTTAATTGAGAATTTTAATTAGTGTCTGACAATTTGCAAGTTTTCTTGATATTGGCAGCAGGGAATCAGTTGCTATTTCTAGACTGACTCTGTAGAGAAATTCTAAGCATTATATGAGGCCAAACATCTTGAAATAAAAACTGCATACGAGAAAGGTATATTTCACAAACGTGTCTGTAAATATATCACAGATAATGAGACAATGGATCATGTTTATATACAAACCCTAATAGCAGACTGGAACTCGTCGCTGACAAACAAATTTCTAGTAAAATTGACGTCATCTTGTTCCACGGTTTTCAGCATTTTGTTCTTCAAATGTTCCACTAATACTATGAATGACGGGAATGCTGGTGGGAAAAAAGCATAGACTTATGCATTGTTGAAGTGCAAGTTCTAACATAAATACGCCTAGAAAAGATTACTTTGAATAAAGCTTTTATAGAATAAGCAGACCCAAATAAAGCCTTTGCTGGTTACATTTCAAATACGTTATGCTTTGTATTGGATAAAGATAATGATCTTGAACTAAGAGCCAGGGGCGGACAATTGATCAAATATTGGGGGGGGGCAAGCCTATTGTTTTAATAAGATGACGTCACATTTCCCATTGTTTTAGAACAAAAGACCATTGTCCTCCAAAGTATTGGGGAAGTGTCCGCCACTACTAAGAACTTACGAAGCGTTCCAGGCCTTGTTGCTGTGGGTTTTGCCATTGAGCTCTCTAAATCTTCATCATCAATATCATCCTTGTCGAATGCAGGATTGACAAATGAGGATGTCACTGCTATTCCAGTTGACATTGGTAACGGTTTGGGGATATTTCTCTTTGCATAGCGAGGATCTTCTTCGACGTCCACGCCCCTTTCATGTATATACCCTCCGTTGTGTATTTCTAGTGTCCCTCTTTCAAAACCACCATCATCATAATCTGACAAAAATTGCACAATCATATTAGCAAACAGTTCCCGTAACAGAGCATTGGCAACAAATATAAAAAAGAATCATTTGGTTACAGAAAAAGTCCAGATGTAACGAAAGAATTCCATAGGCCTGTTTGATTTTAAGTGGACAAGTGAGCATTTTCCATCAAAGAAACAGTGTATAGGCTACAGACATAGAAAAGGTTTGCAAATTAAGATTTAAATGGTCATTTGAGGTTGATAAACAATAAAGATCCTGTAAGTGACAAATGAACTTGAACGCCAAATATTTTCTCTAAAGAGACAATTTAGAAATATGAAACTATCGTTATTTCTTAATATATATAATGCACCGTTTTAAATGTATCACACAAAAAGGCACCTATCACCTTCAAAATCATAAAAACAAAACCAATAAACATACCGTTAATATTATCTAATGTGTCTGCATCCAGGTACCTTCTAATTTTCAGGGTGATCAACTTTTTCTGGAACGACTTTGATCAAAACAGACAATTACCCAATATAAAAAATTGTTCAAATTTTGCAAAAAATTCAAAAGAATACTTTGACGGGAAACTACTGACCAAGAGAATTTATTATCAATCAATTAAATAAATTTTAAATAAATCAACCAATCGATTAAATAAATTTTAAAGTTGAATAGTGCAAGGAGCTGAGGGACTGACAGCCGCCCATGAGCCCTTCCTCTCCTACATAGAAATTGGCAGGTTTTCGATAATGGCCTCAGATCCCATCAGATGATCAGGCTCTTTTAGAAAATGTCAACCTGCATCTTCATTTCATAAATAATCATTACTGATTTAGTTTTGTATTTATTTTGATATGCAAATGATATGCTCTTTTCGAACAAACAACTTCATCCATGATGCATTTAAAATCTTGGTAAGCAGTTTTTGAGGTTTTTAAATATAAATTTCAACATCATAAATCAAAAATATATTATATATATGTATTTCATTGATATGGAACTTTATACAAACATAAATGTTAATTATTGATGATAATGTTGAAGCGATCCACTAATGTGGACTGAAACAGTAGTCTACCTTGTGAATCTCCATGATGACATCTGTGTGTGTGGCGTCGGTCACTGGGATTCCATTTACTTCCATAATCTCATCGTTGGTTTGCAATGGACTTCTTGCTGCAGGTGAGCCTTTAACATAGTTAAATGTTATAAATATTTGTACGACTAACCGCCATGGATTTTGTGCTTTAAAATTTCTTAATACAATTAACAAATGACTTTTGACTCGTATACTTTATATCAAGGTTGTAACATTCTAGCACAAAAAGTAGAACGGAGCGATTGTCTTCCTGCGCTGAGAGAAGAAACAACTGGTACGTGATCATTCAGTTCCTGTCTGAACAGTTCATTTCCCCTTTGTTCAAACATTTTGAATGCCATTGGAACAGTACGCAAACCTTCCTGTGCGAACCGGAATTTAATCTGCTTCTCCCATCAGTTTTAACTGTTTTTGTTTGTATTTGTATGTGCTCCAAAAAAGAAAAGTAGACCACGGCATGCTGACTTTTGTGGCACAATCCGAACTGAAAAAATCTGATTTTGTTAGAGATTGCTGACAAGAAAGAAACTTCTAATTTATGAACATGTGACTGGCCTTCCAGCTTATCATAACATGTTTAGTGTTATTATGCTTAGCAATATTGTATTCCTTCCGCATTGCGATTTTTTCAAACAAATCAAGCACATAACAAAGTCATTTTGCTGAGCTACGGAAAAATCAGTTGTCCACGATAATTTGAAATTGCAAATACCAAGTTCACTATCTGTCCTTCTTCCCCACTTTTTAGAAATATGGCTTGTACCAATCTTGAACTTTTCAAACAAGCGAGCCGTGTTCATGGTTTGGGCATATAATAGAGGGTTGGGTTTCCTGCGTTGATCTGGAAGTTGTCAAGTGTATGTGTGTGTTAGTGGGTGCACTTTTATTTGTTCTCGTGAATAATATGAATAAATTTATTTTTTACAACCTGAATAAATACAGTGCAGTTCTTTATTAACCTTGACCCAAGGGTGGGCCACATTGGACAACATGACGGGCCACAATGTAGCCTGTGGGCCATGCATTGGACAAGCCTGCTTTATATAATCACGGATTAAAATTTAAGAATACCAAAAATAATAATAATAAATAAGAGTGCAATGAAGTTTGAATTGGAAATTTAAATTTAGCTTATACCTTCTGATATGTCATCAATCCTGGCAGGAAAACCAATGTCAGAGCCACCAACCACAGAGAAACCAAATCTTTTGTCATTTGATAGTAGTTTTATAACAATAGTTTTGACCTCAACCTATAAATTTAACCAATCTGTTACAGTTACACCTATAATAGTTATAGACAAAAATAGTTACACCTACTGCTTTCACATTTCCTGATGGTTTTTCATAAAATAAAACATGTAGCATTGTAAATGCCATACTTAAACAGAACTGACTTATCTTATTTGGAGATTCTAATTGTGAGATACAAGTTTTGTAACCTCAACATGGATGCAATGTGACATAAAGAGTGTTGCATGGCATATATAGATGCTACATGCTATGTGACATTGTTTGTCTGAATAAAAAATGTCATCAAATTCATTGGAAAAAACCTAGCCAAAAGACCCACCTCAGTGATGGATTCTGTTGATGTAAATCCATTGATATGGAACTTTTCAGTTGACCCATTTGAATGCAATGAAGTCTTCGATGAGCCAAGTTTCTCATCACTTTTTAACCACCTGAGGTCCCCATTAACTTTTCCACCAAACTTGCCATTTTGCTAAAAGTAAATAGCAGCTATTAGATTTCATAATTTTAATGAGCTTCTGTCTAATTAAACTGATTCTTTTAAATAGGTCTGTAACATTGCACTATATTGTGTCAAAAGAAGCACTCAAACTCTTGAACACAATTCTTGGAACATGGCAATATATAGCAATAAGGCAACAGTATGGTAATGTGCAATACAGTATAAGTGTAGAAGAAAGCTATGAAATAGTTAAAAAATGTACAATGATGTAAAAGCATTCAACTATTTGCAAGATTAGATTTGCAAGAAACAACAGACCTTTGAAAATGCTTCTGCTTCACCACTCTGAACAGTCATCATTTTAACCAAACCATACAGCTTATACAGTTCTAAAAGATAAAAAAATCAAATATCAAAAAAGGAAAGATCATGTAAAGTATACACTATAAACATATCTTTACAAAATTTGAATAAACAGGCAGTAGAAAAAGTATCAAAAGATCCTTTAAAAGATACATTACTGGGGCTATATATTAGTTTCTAATGATAGTCTTCTGCAATTAGGGATGGTTGATGCATACATTGCAAGCAAAAGTATGAGGAAAAATAAATAGCTAGCTTGCAAAGACTGTTTTTAGCAATATATACCAGGACAAAACATTGTTAAAATTAAGAAAACATAGCTGTTCAATCTATGTTTAGATTTTCAACATACTTTCCCTCATTGTATTTTATAAAAGAATTTTTCCATCACATTTCATCGAAGATAATTAGAGTTTCTCAACTTCACTTTTAAGAGACATCCTTAAATTAGAATCTAATACAACTGCCTTACAATATTTAAAATATTTCTGAAAGAACATTTTATGTGTGCGGTTTTGTGTCTTATGATGGCCTCTTTGAAGCTTGTTTGCTACTCTTTGAAATGGCTTAGATGTTAGATGCAAATTATTAGTCCTTAAAATTTTAACTAGCTAGAACTGGAGCAAAGAGACCCATTAGTAGATAAATATTCTAAAATGTCACTAAAACATTTTGACACTAAAATATATATATACTAGATCTGTTGCATATCATCAAAACTAACAAAATAAGAAACTTACACATCACTCCAAATGAATGAATTCTTGATAAGAAATGTACAGCCTAGAAAAATATAAAAAAATGTTAATGCTGAGAAGCAATCATTTTGAAAGAAAAACAGTATCAGATAACTTACAATGGAAATACTGAATAACAGGATAAATGATACACACTAAACAGAGTTGAAAAATTTTAAAGCTATCTTTGGTAAAATTCTAGCCACAAAAACTGTACTTAAAAAGAGTAACATACATCACAGTCAAAACATCATTCACCATATGTGATGATGATCTGATAGTGAGAAAATTATTTTATTATGCTGGTTAAGTATAAGAGAGCCATATTGAATTAAAAGGCAAAAAATAAAGTTTCATTAATAATAGACAGCAGCTAAACTTGTTTCAGTCTTATCAATTGATGAGAACTCACAAATTTGATAGGACAGTAATATCTAAATACACCAGTTAAGAATTACAAATATTTATTATATATATATATAAATGATATTAACTAAATACCATTGAAATCAAATTAAAAGAATTATTTCTGGACAAAAATAATGGGGTTTATAAAGGAATAATGTAAAGCCATTATGAGCTGAAATATTACTATAATTGCAAGCTACCAATGAAACAGGGTGTTAACCCTTCTTTTATTCAACCAAACCAAATACAATCAACCACAGTTTCAGAGGATCAGTTGAATGATACAGCAGGTATAGAAACAGGTTTCCCAATAGTCCATCAAAACCACTGTCTCAAAACCACTTTGAAAATATTCAATTTCAGGTTGACCACTTATCACCAATATGTCACTTTGCTAGCTTAATGAATAAAATTGAAGACTGATCTGAAACCTGCTAGGGTATCAGTTCCCTTTAGGATGCAAATTGATACACAAAAAGCAAAATTCAGAATAACTAATTGTACAGACAAGCAAAACTTTGCAAGATGTCCATGGAGCTATTCACTAGAAAGTGTAAAGGTAGAAGTGAAGTATTAGAATTGATCTATTCTGGTAGTACCTATAAAGAGAATTAGGTTTATATAAAAATTGGTAAACCAAGGATAACATTGAAAATGCCTATGTTTAAAAATGCTTAATATTCTCCTGGGGAAAATGCACTCCTTGCATAGGCAGCATCCTCTATAATTTGGAAAAAGGGGGCAAGGTTCTCCTTATGCCTGGTTAAATGGTTATCTGTCTGGCCAAAAATAATATGGCACTGCCACTATCCCCTTCCTTAATTTTACTTATCAAAAGCACCATTTAGACATCTTCTAGATACCATTTAGACATAATAAATTTGAGCTATAAATCCGTGAATTTTACTTTCTTTGAAGCCAGTTTGATATATAATCCATAGTGATTCTATCCAGACTATTTGCTGGCAACTATTCAAAATCATGCTATCTGTCAACATAAGTAAAACATTTCAAAGTTATCATCACGTGTCTGTTCAGTTTTGGAAAAGCAGGTACTTCTATAACTTCAAAGACTAGTCTCAAAAATGTTTCATGAAATGCTTAATCTGTAAACAAAGAAATTGATCCATCGATTCGCGCCAATGCATCTGTTTATTCTAAACAAATATCGTTCATTTTGAACGGTGTTAGCACAAATTTCGCTTTCACCAAAACATACGAATACAAATACAGAAACTCATTCCGTACTTTGAGCCATGTTAAAAATATCTCACAATATTCTTTATAGTCATGTAGTGTCCAGAGCAAATAGTACATTGATGGGTTTCATCTAGATACATGAGAAGGAAGCTCTGCGCGACGCCATAATTACAATCGTTCCATGTCCAAGTTTTGTCATAGGCCTCAGAGATTTTACTTGAAAATTCAAAAGTATCATTTACCTGATATGATTGCTATTAGAGTCATATTCCGCTTGAACATTACACTTGAATATTCATATTGATTAATCGAGACTTCTCATTACCAACCAAAACATTTCAAACAGCGGAGCGTTTCCCCTGCCTCGCAACCCCAGCAGCATGACACATAATCGAAACCAACCAAAAAGTAAGAGGGCTAGGCCGTAAACAATTTATTTTATGTCCAATAACAATAACTTAAATGAAAACACCCTAGAGACGTGAGATTATCCACGTAAACCAACTTCGTGGCTTAAAATATACTATAATAGGCAACATAATCCGAATAAATACACGATCCAACATCAAAGAAGCTCAGAAACCCTTCCAGAATGAAGCCTACAAAAATCGATCCACGGTGCGAGGTTCCTCGTATTAATTAGAGACGTCAGTAAAGGTAAGAGAGCTTAGAAAACCGATCTACTCACCGATAATGTAGAAAAGTTCATCTACTATCATGTACTGTTCACAGATACGACGTCAATGCAATGTTGAATGTTGTTTAGATATAGGTAGCAACTTCCATGGAATTCAGAGAATTTAAATGAATCATAGGAGTCGGACTGGAGCAGTGACTAAAAAGCATCCACAAGAGCGACCACTCACATTCGGTCTTGAAAAATACAATAGAGGCTGTTTTTGCTTTTGCTTTACACTGCGTGGTTTCCAAACTCGACATCTAGGGTCAGCTAAGAAGGAAACAGGTCAGAAGTAGGGAAAGGGGACTTGGAAGGATTCACCCTATTTTTCAATTTCTCGTCTATACACGAGTTAAATATTATAGTCGCAATTGTATTTTTGCACTTCTAAGTCTAAGTTCCAAAGGATACATTTTAATCCCGGTCAAGGTCAACGAGGACCAACGCTAAAATTTTAGAAAATTATCCTCAAATGGTAGTACTTTTTGACAAAACCCCGCAAACGGTAGCATGAAAACCAAAAATATTTCCTTGCTAGCATCCATTTCTTTGTGCTCTCCTGGTCCTTTTTTGACAAATTTCTTCATAGTTGATTGTTGTTATTTCGGGAAAGATAAATCTTGTTCATTATCTATAACAAATCGCAAGCTAAACTGAGCAGTTCAGTTATTATTGAAAATGGGCCATTTGGTAGCCATTTGGTAAGACCCTCAAACGGACTGGACACCCATGTCGATCTGCCCTGGAAATTATTTTGCAAGGGGGTTGAGATTATCTGCTCTTTAAGTATAACCTCTCCTTTATATGGTCTTAATGTTTTCTCTATAAGGTCTTGAAGACCAGCACCTTCTTCTAAAAAGAATTTTTTCTGAGAATTGGCCATTTTAAATATTTGAAAAAATGAGAGCACGGCCCTCTAGGGCCCCTAGCCCCTTTGCCCATGTTGAGGATCGTTTCAACAGTGATGAAGCAAAAATTCAAGAAAACATCATGACCTATACAGGTGACAAAGCAACATATACACTTTTTCCACTTATAAGAATCCAGCCTTCAAATCTGCTTGAAGTTCGTTGAACGCAGGTTGATAGTACTCTTGCGTTTCCTTGAAGAAGATTTTCAACTTAGAAATAATTGATATTACAACAAGTTAAAGTTGATAAAGTTTGTCTCGTTTCTTAAATGCTATGAGAATTTTTCAAATAAATTAGACAATGCAGTCAATGGACATTGAGCAGGACAGGAATAATGGCATAGGGGGTCAAAGAGGGGGCAATCCCTCCTTCCTCCTCCAGAGATCTCCTCCTTTCAGCAATTTTAGCTTAGAATCAGAATAGCTGGGTACTACTTTGCTAAAGGATGAGTGCTAAAGGATAGCCTCGCTGTGACAAAAAGGCAACAAATTAAAGTTGCATTTATGCAACAATTTCAACACTGTTGCTTTTGAAGCACTTACAGCATAAATATATGTCATGTCAGAAAGGACAACAATGAAAGACTGATTTTTCTATTAACAAAACGAAATTGTACAGTACTTAGACGACGCTGTTGGCATTGCTAGAAAGATTAACCCATTGTAGGGAATTTCTTTGCAATCTCATTCAATCTTTCAATGTTTTCATAGATGGAACAAGACAAAGCTGCCATGATACCAAGGCTCTAAAGATGGTAGGCAGAGCTATAGAGCTACTTTTACTTTTTATTTTTCGATAGCAATATATGTCAATATCTGGCTGTAAATAGATAAATTTGCAAAAAATTAGTTAGGGTTTAGATTTTCGTATATTGTTGTAACATGCCTGCTAAGAAGCATCCATGACTGTTATCTTTGTATTAACATGGACAACGTACTGGCATGATCTTTATAAGTCTGAAGAAAGCATTCAGTGCGACTGATCACGACGAAATATGAAAAAATAATAGCATAATTTGCGTGAATATGCGTCACCCACCTTCTGTTAAAATAACTAAAGCAACTTTGCAAATGATATAAAATCGATTGGTAACAATAGTATTAATTATGCTGTTCCACAAGACTCGTGCCCAGGATCTCAACTATTTCAAAAGTTACACGAAAAACGCCACGATCTTTCATATTATGTATGTCCACTCTAAACTCGAATCTGCAGCATGACTTAAAAGACGATATTCTGAAACCAAATAGTAAAGGAAAAAACACTACAAGGAAAAAACACTCTTAATATACAAATCTTAGCATTCAACATTAAAATGACAGATTCTTGTTGATTATGTTAAGAGCAACGCCTGCCTAACACTTGGCCAAATAATGTAATTCAGAGCCTTTCTTCTTAGCGATACATTGGGTGAAATGTATCTTGGTCTTGTTTAGCCGTATTGGTACAAAGAGTTGGTACAAAGGAAGAATCCCAAGCAATTCTTATACAAGAAAACTAGACACAAGTAGAGTGACGAAGCTCAGAACAGTGTATATCCAATGTATGAACCTCATTAGGTCTTAAGAAGCCAAGCATTTAAGCATCTTATGCGAAGCGGTCTTCCCCTATGTTTTGCTAGTCATTTTATGAAATTTGCCCCTTCGTCGCGCGCAATGAATGTGTGGAAGTGCTATTATTAGCACTCTTGTTCTTTCAAATCCCAGCACGAGTACAAATCTACTATTTAATCTGATTAGGGAATTATAAACATTGGCAAAAAACAACAGCATTTCTATCAAGACGTGAGAATAGTTGTATAAAGGTGGTGCGGGCACAGCCACAACAGGTTTTTTAAACAACTTCTGAAGCTCCGTGCAAACCTCAAGTCGGTCCCTGTGTGCATGTGCTGTCAAAATCCGGAATTAAAATTGAAACCGAACACAAACTAGTGTTAAAACCCGTTTTTTCAAATTTTATACAAAACAAAAGCATGTTTACTATAAACTTAAAAAGAAAATTAATCTCAAATTTACCTTCAGTGCAAACCTTTTTTCTGAAACCGAAAACACTTCCTTTTTAACACCTAACTTTTTGCTGAATTTCAAAATTCGTAAATTCTTCTTTTTCGGGCCTAAGATTTTCCTGAACAGTGTAAATCACACAAAGTGTAAATTCGCCCAAAGATCAGAGAAAAAAAACCTTCGTTGATGTATTACGTCATCACGAAAACAAAATAAGAACAAAACAGAACAGAGCGAACTGATCAATAAATATCATAGCCTTAATATTCTTGTAGACTATATTCTTGTGAAGAATTGTTGCTTTACCACAGGTCAGACAATTACGGCTAAACAAGGACTGACGTAAATAGATATAAAATTCGTGAAAGATTTCTTACTGTTTACGTTAAATGACAGTTTTGTATAGACGGTTGGTTTTTATCATTGCATTCAGAGGTCGGGTTTATTATCTGAACCATCAACCGGTTGCTATTTTTGACTCTGTTACACTCTTTTCGTAAGGACAAGATAAATTTTGGCAACTCTCGGTGTTTTTAATTTCTGGATAAATTCAGATTCATGTGTTTTTAATTTTGTTCTCATTTTAAAATTTATTTTTCTTTATCTGATATCTATGAATACTTTCTAAGCCCACTGAACGACAGTATTTCTTGAAATTTTTAGTAGCACGGTTCATAAGCTGATAATATCTGCTTTATATTGTTAACACGAGAGAAATTTTTCCATTCAATATCTAATCAATAATTACTAAAAAGAAAGTTTACGAATATTTGCTAGAGGATCTTCCTTATCGATGTATTTTCTGGCTATCGTTAAACTGTCATAGCTCAAAATTTGTCTCGCCCTCAACTATGGTGGCGTCTTTCACGAAACTCATGAGCAATATAAACATTGTGCCTCCTTACCTTCAATGAACTTTCCCCCTGCTCTTCCCATGGTACCGATCCATGGTTCCCATGGATCTCAGCTGCTGCTCAACCAGTAAATGTACTTGGCTGCTCAACCTATGATCGGAAAATCCATCGTCATGTTCAAGTTGCAATGATCATCATCATCAGGTACCATCTTCTATCAGAAGGTTGGCTACCATGACCCTCCAACTATCCCAAAATCTGAGTTTTGGTTTGTTGTCATGGTCATAGATAAAACTTTGATCACATGATATGATCAACTTAGAAATTTCATAGAGCCCCCCTTGTTCAATTTTAGTTAAGAGCCTAATTTGGAAGTTGGTGCTTCCGTCATTTTCCAGTGACTTGAAGGGTGTGGCACCAAAATTCAATTAGTGCCTAACACCCCAACACACACCCCTTCGATCATTGTTACTTTTTCAGGTACACTCATTTTTTTTATAAGAAACAATGGTCGATGTTTAGTACTCCAGTTTCTGGAAAATTCAAAACTCATTGTTTCTTGGGAGTTTCTTAATTATGACGTCATGAATGATGTTATGAAATGTTCTTGACCTTTTTTGTCACGTCAAGAGATTCGCTTTCTTTCTGATGCTGTATTTAGATGTGGGAAGTATATTTTTATCCCTTGTGTCTTAATTTCTAGGCCATGTTCTTGGGTTTTACAAAACTTCGTTGTTCTCAGTTTTATCAAGATTTGATAGATTCTTAGTTCTTTTTGCTTCGAGTACTGAAGTTTCTTAATTTTTTCTTTCTTTCCAGTATTCGTTTCTTATAGCCAGTTTCTTATAAAAGAATTAGGGTATACTGCCAGCCTTAAATTTGGTTTATTTATCTAGGAATGGAAGATTTCCAGTGAAGTACTAATAGAACCGATCTGCAACTTTTTTTCGATCAGTTATAGTATTTAAATTCAATTGCATGTTCTTTTGATGATTTGCTTTTTAATTAATTAATCAGCTCGTTGATACTCTAAATAGAGTTGATTTTGAAGGTTTCAAATAGGATCGTGCAATATTTTGCTTATATTTAATGTTGACATTATTGAGTCTGTCAAAAGCTTGGTGTATGTTGCCCTTGCGTTTTCTTTGTTTCTTTTGATCTTATTGCTTGAGACTCAAGTGCAATGCAGGAAATTTGGCAGCTATACTTGTCGCTTCTGACCCGCTTATTAGACAAAGTGAAACCAGAATTTTCATTCATTAGAAACTGATATAAGAAAAAAACATAAAATGTCTGAGTTATGGTTGGAGTTTCGGAAGGTTGCCTCTATAAAATCAACCACTACTTGGCAACTAGAATTATCTTGTGACATTATTCATCGACACGGCGGAAACATCGACACTTTTCAGAGTATAAACGTCAAAGTTTTCAGAGTATGACCAAAAGGTAAGCGGAGATTCCAACCCAAATGAGGATCGAAAGTAGCACGAGAGAGGAAGAACGAGACATTGGATTGGTTTATTGCTTTTAACCAATCAGCGACCAATAAACCCTCACATAGTGAAAAGTCCAAAAAGAAAGAACAAACTTATTTTGTTTCCACAATTTGAGATGTTTTGCTCTGATATAGAGAATCTCCAAATTGCTTAAATGAAAAACGGCCTGGCTTGCGCGATGAAATAAAGTTTTTGTCACCAAAGCATGCTTGCTAATAATATAAATCTTAATTGGTGATTTTGTATGTTTCGAAACTTAGTGACTTGCCCAAAATCAAAATTTTAACAAAAGGAAATGTAGCCTAGACTGTTTTATGAAACATCATGCTTAGATTCACCTGTGCGGTTATTCCGAAACTTTTTACCTCGAGAAAAAACTGTTTTTAGCTAGTGCATCAGTTCACATTCAAGCTGTGCTTGAACTTGGAAGAAAATTCCTTTATCAGAAAGAGATTTGGGCATTTGTTAGTGAATAGGAATGGAATAAAATTAGTAGACAAGGTTAAGAAAATTCTAAATTCGGAAGAAATTTATGAAAAGAGTTAGCAAACTCTAAATTTCACTTAAACTTGTATTCTGGCTTAAGACGTTTATTACTATATTTTAACACTAACAAAGTCAAGGGCTTGAAGGGTAGTTGGTGAGCTATGTTGTGTTGTCTTGATAAGAATTGAGGTAGAGTTAAACAACAACATCTTTTCGAAATACATAGCTTTTTTCACGCGCTATCCTCAAAATTGTATTGTTTCAATCTTTGTCTCCTGATGTGCTACTGAAATGAAGCATTTATTTGTTAATATTAAGTATAACTTGAACGTTTACTAAGTATAACATGAAGAGAAATAACAATTTGCAAGAACTTTTTTGGATGGTTAGATGAATTGTTGACGAGGCCTAGAACCTAATGGTCTACGTACATTATCGAATGGACTGGCCTAAAGTACACCATGTGTCGAGAGCGGCATTTAGTAGACTGACATGGACAATCGTTGCATTGATCTAAAAAATTAGCTGGAATTTGAAGATTTGACGATAAAGGCAATTTACAAAGCACTTTATAAGCAAAGCCTACTTACACTCTATAATGAAAATATTGTAAAGGAAAAAATTATCAAAGGTAGTGATAAATCTTGCAGAGCATTAAAGCTAATGGGAAAAATCTGTGTAGGATGAAATATCTCAAGCCTAATGATAAATTGTGGAATGATGCAATAAAGGAAGGAACAACTTGCCACCAATGTTGTTTGCCAAAGCAATGCGTAAGCAGATCAATGCTGCCAGTAATCCTCAACCTAAACAACTGCCAACACGAAGTGACATCAACAACAAAGAAAAGGGTGGACCATGAAAATGTTCTTTAAATTCTCTGCAATTGACGCAAAACTACACCATCTTGTGCAGCATTCAGAGGCGGATCCAGAGTGAGTTCCTTGGTGCACAGAACTCAGTCAGTTTTCCAACATATAGCTAAAAAAAGTGCTGCCTGAAATAAGTAATACTTAAACTAAAGAGGTGAAACATAAAAATTTAAGTTTAACGCAGTCTCTTCAAAATCTTAAAATTGCCAGTTTGATGTAATTCGTTCGCCCTTTTCCTTCCTTCTTCTCTTTCGTGATTTTGAAACGATTTTTCAGACGCTGTAAAGGACAACAGGAGTCAATCCTAGAGCTCGGAAATAAACTTTTAGAACTCGGAAATAAACGTTTTGTGCCTCGGAAGTGAATGAATCGAAACAATGAAATTTTTGTTTGGAACACGGATGGAACTCAGTCAAAACAGCATCTGGAACTCGGAAATGATACCATATTTGTAAGAGAGCTGTACAATAGCCAATAGTTTATTTAATACCTATTGTTTCTGTTCTATTGTGGAACTGCAAAACATTGAAATCGAAATGGCGCCTGCAAATGTCTTATACTCACGACCATCGCAGCATTCTAGCAGATTATTAAGCGTTTGAGATAAATTAAGGAAATATCGTTAATTTTCAGGAGCATTAACTACCCTGGTTTTAAATTGCAGTCTTAAATGGCACGGGTGACCTATGCTCAGACGGAACACCACATTTTGATGAATATGCTGGGGTGTCTACGGAGGCAAAACAACAAATTGCGAGCAAAACAAAAGGGACAAACTTTGCTGTGACATCCAAGACAAACAAAAGGGTATTGAGGAAAGGAGGAGGTTGCAAAAAGTTTCACAGAGGCACTGTTTTCTGTCAGAAAGAAATCTAGAATCTAGATTTAATGAGTGGGTAGCACCTACCCCTCCCCCTGGTACCACAATTCATAAATATGAATAATATTGTTGTCTTAGGAACAACTATCAATGCATTATCTGAAAGACCCTAGCCTTGGCCTGGAACTCAGTCACGTTTTTTGCTGGATCCGCCCCTGGCATTGTTTTTGTCTAAAAGTGAGGGGAACAGATTAAGGTGAAGTTGCAACGAAAGCATATCGGCAGGGCTCGCGCCACTGATCCTAATCTGGAGAGACCACTAATGTAAATGAAATTTTGTTTTACCTTCTCTAGAGCAGGGTAGAGAAAAGGACCTCCTCCCCAGTCTTTCAATTGATGTCACCTCTTTAGTACCGATGTAAAATAACGCCAACTGATGAAACATAGCTTTTTCACATTGACACACTTGCTCCACTGAGACTGAGAGTATAACATTACGAAAGACCTAATGAAATGAAAGTAGATCTTTAGCTATTTGATAAACAAGGAGATATCTCGTCGACCAGACTGATAACCAGGGCCGTCGACAGCCGCTCATGCCTAGGGGTGATTTACAAAACTGGGCCCCTAAAAATTTTTCTGTGGCCAGGCCCTTCAGTCTCCCGGAGAACTAGGACAACGCCCATTTAGCTAGAATTGTTGAAAACGTTTTTAAGGATTTTCACGAGATCATGGGAAAACACTTTCCATGAATCAAGGAAATTGTTAGCATTGTTAGTAATCAAGGAAATCAAGTTGGTATTGTTTTTCTCTGCGATAAACTTAAAGGCGTTGATTTCATATAAGTAGCTGAGACAGTAGCTTTTTCATTGTAAATAGATCTTATTACATTATTACGGGCCCCATCGGAGTACGGGCCCCGGACCTCTTGCCCCTCCTAACCCCTCGTCTCGATGCCCCTGATGATAACTCTTTACCTATAAAGTACGAATCATTAACAAAAGTACTACCACATCTTTGATTCAGATTTGTCATCAGGTTTATACTAATATATTTAACTACACTTTGGTTTAAAAAATAGGACGGTTCGAAGTACATCTACAACCGTTTTCCATAACTACAATGTAAATACCTAATCCATAGAAATAAAAAACACGTTTTCATATCCTATATTTCCCCCCCCCTACCCCATATAATAATCGTTTAGGGTGCCAATTCAACGTTCAGACATTAACTAGCTCGAAAGGACCGTGGATCATATAACGGATTGAGGGGGCTAAAAGGTGTTTTTTGGGGGGGGGTAAACATGCTAAAATTCAAGAGCAGGGCAACTTTTGTATGGGTTCAAGTAGATTTTGGAACTTATTGGGGAGGGGGCTATAGCCCCTCAGCTGATTTGCTGTCGAGAAGAGGAGAGTCAGAAACGAGGCTGTCGCCAAGGCTTTCACCACGTGTTAGGGCCTAGCCGCTCAACAACAGTTGATATCTATATCGAATATTTGAAGTTGTGATGCACCCATCCAACGATCAACAGATGTAAGTTATTTTTGATAATTTATTTAAATAGTGAGAAAGCTATTAAGATTGACTAATACACAAATATTTATTGGAAGGAAATGAATGATTTGATTTTCTTGAAAAGTCACACAGCACAAGTCCTTGAATTTTTGTGTTTTGAATCATGATTTTGAACTTAGTATGCACAGAATTAGTCCAAAAATAATTGTAAATATCAAGGTAAAACTGTTTTTACCTACAGAAACATTAAGGAAGAAATCTAGACCTCTCAAAATGCAGTAAAAATAACAGTAGATTTCCCTGACAATAACAGTATACTGGTTATTGTCAGGGAAATCTACTTTTATTTTTAACTAATAGATTTAATCATTAAGCAGTAATTAACTAATAGCTGCTTAATGATTAAAGAAAGTGTGAAATTGAGGCAATCTTAGAACAATCCTGCTCTTCACAGCAAGGTGTAAAAACAACTATTCGGATTTAAAGTTTTGATGGTGAAATTTTTAGTAACTGATCATATTTGGTCAAGCTTTATTCAAGTAAATAACCTGCAACAGATTTTCAAGTCTGCTTGAAGCTTACAGAGTTGCCACCTTTTGTCCACTTGTTCCTCATTCTTCTTCCTGCCTCTGTGATTTGGATCTTTCTAAGGACATTAGCACACATTCTTCTGTGCTTATAATCCTCCTCTACTCCATACACAGAAAGTCTGCTCTAGTCTATGGAGTATGGCAATCCCAATGAGATCTTGTGTGTACAAAATCATTCAAGACTGGAACTTTGTTTCTTGCACAGGCAAGTTCATGCGCCTGACTGCACGACTGCATACCTGAAATCACTCACATTTAGAAAATTTTTGGTGGTAATAATGTAATATGTTATTACATACAATGGATGGAAAATTTGAGTGTGCTGGTGTCATATGGGTTTTGGTCACCTTATGCAAGACGGTCTGGGTTCACTAACGCATGAAAATTTTGGTTATGCAAAAACGTACCCAGGCATTTAAAAAATAGAGTACCAAAATTAATAGTGGAATTCAGCATGTGAACTGGTACAGGTACACAAATGTTCTGGCTCATATTACTATTTTTAAAAAGGGGGTGCTAAATGCTAATAACAAGCGAAATCACCATTAATGGTGACTCCAAACTTTGCCTGATTGACAGTGACATTTTAAATTCTAAAAAAGTGTCAAAACATCACGCAATGATGAAATCACACAATCTGAAACACATTACATTTCACAATGTTACAATTTTATATAGGATACCAAAATGCAAATTACACCAGCAATATATTGCAGGCATACGATAAAGTTTCCAGTATGGAAGTCATTTAATGTACATTTTCTGCATGCAAACCTCCTTAAATACTTTCATTGAAATGCAGAAAGTTTTTTCTTAATAGCACTATAGTAAAATTCAGTGTTTAATTTCAAATTTTTATGTTCAGCACTACACTGACCTTTCTTGTTTACATCTGGGAAATCTTCACTATAATGTTTAGAAAAAAATTACGTTTCATGCTTTTACATAGTGAGATGACTTGGACTAGATCAATGACAGAAGCATTTGGTCAGCTTTCCATTGATGAGACTTTTTTTGATGAAAAAGGTAAGCTTTTTTCAACTTTTTTTTGTAAAGGCTGAAAGTGTGCTTTTGAAGTTTTGCTGAAAATGTGCCTTAAATAACGAATTTTCTATAAATACTGAAAATCTGGTCTGAATTTTATATGCCCAAAATAGTGGATAGGGTTATATTTTTACAAGACATTTACAGGAGGTTTTATATGTAAAGAAAACATTTTTATCATACTGTAATAACCCTATTTGAAATGCCTGGTCTTAAGTAATTTCACTGTATGTCTTCCGGTTCAAACAATTTTATGTTGAATAGTAACATCCATAAAATTTTATTTCCTTAGATATTTTGGACAACTTGACAAGGAAGTTAACTGCATATGTAGAAAACGCAGAGGAAGATGATGAATCTAAGCTAAGGTGTGTGAGGCTACCTGTCACTCTCTGTTATTTTTGGCTATTTGTTGTTTAAGATTATTAAATGTCATATCCTAACAAGTAGATTAAGTCATAATCTTCTTTAGAATTTATTTTGTTATGCATTTTAGGTTTTTTTCTATCTTTTAACATTTTTAACTGACATTCAGAAACAATGTTCTTTGAGAAATAAAGATCATTCTTTCCTACTGCTTTTCATTTTCCTAGCATGATAAGTCTTTGTTTTTTCTTAAGTTAATCTGAATTATAAATTGATCGTTATCATATTCTATACCTAATGCCAATTGAATATCTATACCAAAGAACCAATTGAATGTCATCATTGCTGAAGAGGATTTTATGGTCATTTTTTAGATGGGAAATTGTGCAAAATTTTGGCATAACTTGTTTAGAAGTGTTCCTGATGGAAAATTGGACTGGTCCCTGCATAAAGAAAAATGAAATTCCAAAGGAACTAAAGCCAGTCTTTGAAGAGGTATCATTTCAAAATTTCCTTTTCTTATGACTAAATTTTAACCAAATAATGGTAGCTTTTTTCAATTTTCAGGCGATTTTAAAAGCCTGCAAATAAACTACACCTTTCTCCATCACTTTGTTGCAAAGTATTAAGGGTTTGGCCAGTGTGCATCCTTTCTAAAGGCAATTTAGGCATCATTGAGAATGAACTTGTCTGCTGTTTGTTCTCTATTTGTTTCTGGTATATATGATTATGTGAATCGGGGGAAGATGTTGTAGCACAAGTAGTTATGTTATGTGTTAACACATCATTATTGTCAGTTCACATCCTCTACATTTCTGATTAATGCTTATTTTTGGCTCCTGGCTACCCTTGTTGTATTTAATACAAGATGGGTATCAAGCTGAAAGTAGTTCAGCTTGATTTAATAAAAATCAGATTTCCCTGATATTGCAAGCCTCATATTTGAGTTGTAGCCTTATGTACTGAGGCAGATAATACATAAGTTGTTATAATATTTATAGCTAGATATGTATCAATTCCACTCATGTTTATATATGCAAATAATAAATTTTGGTAAGTTTTTTGAAAGTTGATCCAGTAGATAACTAATTTTATCTCTTACATAGAAATTAAATCAGTTGGCATTTGAAGATTTACAGCACAAGGAAGAGGTAAGCAAGATACTTAACATCTGCAAAATTTCTTTGGCTGGAGTAAACAGATATAGAATAGTTTTGGTGTTCTGAACAACAGTAGTGCTATACAAATTTTCACTTAAGAAATTAGAAACTGAAATATTGAAGTATTCATTCAATTATCCGGCCTTTTTGGGACACTGGATTAAAATATGGGTGCTGATAGTCCGAAATTGTACGAATAAAGGCAGAAGCCATCATAAATAAACAAAACGAGTGCTGTGAAAGTTTATTTCTAATTACACATTGAAATCTAATGCACCAAAAACTCATAAGATATTTCAAAAGGATGGAAGAAAAACGCTCCCAACACATTATCTAAAATGCCGGAAATTTGTTATAAGGTTTTTTCACATTTTTTACTTGAAACGTTAGGTCAGATAATTGTATAGTATTGTTTTGTCAAGAATTGGTAGAAGAACTTGAAACTGCGAGAAACTGTTGTTGGCTGTACAAGGTTTCTAATGGAGAGCTGACTCATAAAAGTCAGTGCACAATGCTCCTACTTTCATTCGGCACCGATTTTATTTTGCTGTTTAATCGTCATTCAAACGAAACGCTGCTTTCGTTTAAACGATGCCGTTCGACCATTATTGCACTTTGAAATGATCCATAGTGTTTTGCTACATTGCACGTTGATGGTTTAATTTTCCAGATTACTCGTTTTCATAGTGTAGAAATGTGAACGCAGGGCCAGAACAGTTACGTTTCGTTCCGTTAGATTTGAAATTTAAGTAATGTGATTGGGGTGGGTAGGAGGTCAGTGGTGGCCCTGGCCAAAATTCCTGTTATTTTTTGTTCTTGGATGTGTCATCATCTTTAGTTTATAAACAAGAATTTCGTTTGAAATATTTAAATGAATTTCAATGCTAAAGGAAAAAAGGCTTCAAAATCAAGGCTACAAACATTCTGTTATGTCTCTAAGAAACTGAGCCCTAAGATGACAGAACAAATTAAGAAAACCCTCTTGCTGGTCAACTTCAACCTCACCAACAAGGCTTTCCATTAAAAGATGAAGTCTTTGCGGCTGCTTGGGTGTTCTCTTTCAAGTTATTTTATGTTACGTCTTTGAATCACTAAAAAGTTTTTTCTTTATGATCATCGGGACTAATTTTTCTTTCCAGATAAACGTGATACATTTGTGAAACAAGTTTCGCTATTGACATCATTTCATTATCTCTGGTTAATCAGTTCCTCGAAAATTTTCTTTCAGTCATCGCTGTTTTCGTTTGGATCATTCTGTAAAAACTTTCGTCAGGGCAGAGTTTATTCATCCTCTTCTCCTTTCCTTACGACGTTGGTTTTTCTATTTTCTCTTACAGATTCTTTCTTTTCGGTGGTAAATGTAAAGACATAACTTGAACAGTTCAACTGATACATACCTAATAACACATGTCAATTGTAACTCCATTGCTGGTTGACATCGGCCACAAGTTTGGAAATAAAAACCCTAGGGGGGTACTTGGCACATATACACGAGGGAGTGTCAATCCGATATTTTTGGGATCGAATGTTTTCTCAGAGTGATATTTTTGGATCCCGAATGAAGCAGATATCCCTAGGTATCAAATTTAGAAAAAAAACTTAAAATTATTTGCATTTACAAGAAATCTATATCAGAATAAAAATTACGGTTTAAATTTTTTCAAATGGAAACTCTGACCAAATAGCCCCGTGTGAAACGATTCTATCCAATTATAGTATTTTTTCTGTATAAGATTCGGTAAAACTGGGTCTTTATGAATATGAGCAGGCATTTAAAATTCGGACAAAAGCCCCAATGTGTAAGAAGGTTTTTTAATATTTCCCATATTTTCAATATTTATTAGGTTAGTTTTCCCCCCTCCCAAGAGAAAATGGGACCTACCGTAAGTCATTGAATGACATTCCACCCTTACTAGGGGCTCAAATTAAATCATTCTTTTAGGGGGACGGGGGAGTCAGAAAAAGTTGGCCCTAACAACCAATCTAATTGAGATAAAAAAATGAAAATGACAAAAAATACATTTGAGAAAATTCTGAGGGACTTTCGGGCTGCGATGAGTTTGGGAATCCATTCTCCTCTTAGTTTCATGGTGGTCATTTGGTACCTTGGATGGAAATCTAATGACATCAGATAAAATATATAACTTTGTAGTTGCTTAAAATTGTTCTTTAGGAGTAACTAAACAAATTCGAATGATAATTGTACCAAAACTAATGGTACAAGTCTCTTGGGAGAAGGACACAGCTTTGTTGGGGCACCTAGACATGCCCAAGGATGCATTGTACTAGGGGGAAAATATTGAATTTTAAAGTGACTTCTTTGGTTCACCTAGCCTCCTAGAGACCGATTATTCAGACGATTCAGTCATTTAACTTCATTTTTACAGTTATCACAGTCTTACTGTGATCTCAAGTGACTTCAACGAGCACATAGTCTTTTCATTAGATAGCTAGAAAAAGCGTTAAGACAAAGTGGATGCAAAGCTAAAACTAAATGAAAAAATCTCTTATGTTCTTCTTCAAAAAGGATCGATTAGAATAATGACTATAGATGCTGAAAATTGACTTTATGTTTCTAACGATTAGATATTCTTCTTCTTCTTCTTCTTCTTCTTCTCCAAGGTACAAATGTTGTTGTGATGTCGCATCTTCCTTAAGTTGCGGTGGGCGTAATTCTCTCAACAGTTGCGTCTTCTTGGCTTTTCATCATTTATATTTCCTTAGAGTTTGATAAAATATTCATTTTGTCTTTTATCAAACTCCATTTTCTCATTGGTATTTCTAGCACCTTTTCTTAATGGAATACTATACTCAAAGATTTTCTGACCTAATGAGAGGCTGGTTTTCTTGCTTTTCTCAAGTAAAATTTCACAAACATATCAACATTCGCCTTTTGGTCTTCTCATTTTCTCAAGAAATTTCAGGGGAGTCGTTCCGCACCACCTCCTTGCTGTATATTTTGCATCGATTTATTATATAGGATAAGTAACAGAAAAGTTCCACATATTGGTTAGCACTGACTATTTCCATTATTTGTCTTTATTTGTCCACTATTTGCGCTTATCAACGGACCGACATTCCCGTATGCTCCTCTGCTAATGTTTTCCCCCGGTCCCAGAGCGGCAGAAAAACCAGCATTTCACAATAAATGTTCTAGGCTGGGACCAACTAAACGTTTAGTTGGAAATCAGTTTGTTGGAAATATTGGAGTTGTGACATCCCACATCCAAATCCTCTAATTTGCGCCCCTCGCCCTCACCTCCGAATTAAGCTCCATCCCACTAAAAATTACTTTTAGCGGAATAATTCCCGTGGGTTTGTTCGAGAACTTGCGGTATTTGCTGTTTCTTTAGCATCGAGTTGCATGATCTGCTGGTTGTTGAAGGGTAGCTGAACTTTTAAGAGGCAAAGTAAATATCAAATTTCTGCCTGCTAGGATTTGCTAAGACACACTTTGCAATGCCTATATCAAATCAGTAAAAGTTGACTTTTTATCATATTTCTTTGGAAACTTCTAAGTTTAAGCTTATTTCTTGGCAGAAACGATAGTTTGAAAATAGAAACAAACACATATTGCAATTGAAAATACATTTATCAACCGAATCTAATATTCTCTTGGTACCTTAACATGTCTTCATGTGGCAGAATAAATTCTCTAAGATAACTTATGATCAACATTCTATAAAATTTGTTGGTTCATATCTTTCATAACAATCAAAACGCCAGAACCAGGGGGCAGCAGGGGCAGTGGACCCCTTGCCCTTGTGAGATTGAGCATTTTTCTGTTTTACTATTGTTTTGTTCTTTTTCGTGGTGCTTTACCCCCGTTGCCCTCTTCAAGTGCAGGCATGTCTGATTAAATTTTCCCTTCAATTTCCCTGATTCATTTCAATTTATCTTTAAAATTCCAATAATACATTAATTCATAGAAAATATATTTACTGAAAATACACCTCATCAACAAACTGTATTTAGCTAGGTAAAATATTTTCAAATTTAAATGTCTATTTTTTGGGAGCACATTAACAAGATATCATTCATTTCATAAATGGGTGAAGTAGAAGTCTAGGGGGCTTAGTATCAAGGACTGCAGAGCATATTACAGACTGAGGGGGCTCAAAAGTTTTTTGGTGGGTGCTAAATATGCTAAAAACGAAGAGCAAGGCATTTTTCATGGTTTTCAGAGCATTTTGGAAAGGGGGGCTAAATTCCCTTCACCCCCTGCTTCAGGTGTCCCTGCTTACTATGGATTTTGCCCTGAGATCAGGCCAACAGCAGCACCAATAATCCCAATTCTGCTTATTCCTCACAGTAGGAGATTTTGGTGGTTTACCTAAATAAATGTGGTTGTAACTTTTAATTTAGAGTAATACTTTTATTATAGATACAACACATATTGTGGATGATTTTAAAGCTATTCACTCGAACTTGTAACAAATCTTGTGAAATGTATTAGCTTATATTCTAGGCTACTTCTAAAGTATGCAGTTTTAATAATAGTCTAACTCTTTTGCTAATAAACAACATATGGAATTATTCTTTGAAAAAAAATTTTCATACAAATGGTATGCCTACTTAAAAATTGATTACTTATGAGAATAAGACGATCCCCTCTATACAAATAGGAAACGAACAAATGCTTTTTAGCATCAGTCTTGTCATCTTGTTTGTTTTCGTTTTTTTAAGAGGAAAGGAGGATGAGATATGTCACAAAAAAAGGGCACATAAAGGAAATAGGAATAAAAATCAAGGCTGAAGTGATACAAAACATATTATTGTTAGGAATGGCAAGAACTTTTAAAAAAGGTTCTTGAAACCTGAGACTAGTTGTTCTACAATGCCTGTAAAAAGTGATGTAACCTTCTCATCATCTTTCCTACTCAATGTCTTCCCTACCCCACCCCATCCCCACCCGCTTTACCGAGAAAACGGGAGCAGAAACAGTCTAACAGACCTTTAGAAAACGGTTCATTTTTCTTTCCAAACACTGT